AAAAATTTTGATTTTTTTGGTCAAAATTGGATTTTTCTAGACTTATTCTTAACTTTATTACTCAATATCTCAAAAACTATGCATCGTAGAGTATTTTAACTTGTTGCATCGTGTTCAGCGCGTAATTTTACGTCTAGAAAACTATATTTCAAGCGTTTTTATGACTTTTAGTAAATTGACTATTTTTACGAAAAATTTTTGAAACTTGACCCAATGTCGTTTTATGCACTTATTTGAGTCCTTAAGACCTCTAGGAATGTAAAAAACGTAAAATAGATCAATTTTAAAAATAAATATTTTATTGATTTTTGTCGAGATTTTGGTCGATTTTTGGCACCCGGAGCGGTCTAATGGCAATAACTCCGGACTTATTAGAGATAACCTCTTATATTTGGTACCGTTGGATAGCAAATTGAATTTTCTATCAGACACAAAAAAGATCAATGCTCTACGAAATTATAATTATAAACTAAAATATTAGAAGAAGAAAAAGATTTACATTTTCAGTGGGAAAGGAAATGAAAACTCGAATTTCTCGTAAAAATAGATTTATTCATCTTTTAAAAACTCTTCATCGGCTTTGCTGAAACCCTCTCTCAGATCTTGGGGTACTTCAAGTGCCTTCAAATCATCCTCCCCAATCTCCGCTTCGGTCCGTATCAAAATATCGACCAAATTCTCACAGGCCAATAACGCTTTCTTGTCTTTTTCCCACTTGTGTAACTCTCTTAGAATCACATAAGTGTTTTTCTCTCTAATAAATTCCCGGTTTTTTCTCTTGGAACACAACTGTGTCAAAGCTTCGAGTAGCATACACCTGATATCGGGGTCCTCCTCTCGGGTCTTGTCTTCGGGTAAATACTGAAGATCAAGGGGGAGTTTATCGTTGTCTTCCTCATCGAATTCCTCGTTTCCGGCCAGGGGGAGGAGAAAACGGGGGAGAATATCGACGTGGGGGCTCAAGAGCCACTCATGAAAGTCGGCGTCGAAAGTACAGTTGCGGAGGGTCCCCACGACGCCCCCGCGACGCACCAGCGACGCCTTAAATTCGGTAAAAGGGAGCAATTTCTGAATCACACACTTATTCCTATCCAAGATGTGTTTCCTCACTCGGTTACTTTGCGACAAATTAGATAAAAGGGGCCCCAAATAATGTAAATTAGCCCCCACTTTATTGTAACTGTTCTTGGTAAAAATCTCAATGAAATCGTCGAAATCCCTCTCGTTTTTCTCAATCGCATCGATGACTTTTTCATGGTTTACCCGAGACAAGTTTGAGAGAATCATACAACAAAAATCAGCGATTTTGCTCATTGGATCAAACACGAATTTGATAACAGTCGTCGAGATGTCACTAGGGGGGTTCTGCAACGGCGGACAATCCACTCCCGTGTCCAAATCCAGCAATTTTTGGGCCCCTTTCGCATCGGCTGAAATATTCACAAGACTGAGGGCCGAGTCTTTGGCGATTGTGGCATTATTGTCGTTCAAAAGTGTGATTAAAGACACTAAAACGGCCGGAATGTCGATGAGGGTGGCAATCCCGGCGGGGGTTCCTGTAAGACCTCAACAGAAACTAGCAAATAACCTCAATCATTAATTACCTAAAATGTGACCCAAAGCCACGGATTTTAAGTCGAGACGGGCCCCAATTTGCACAAATTGCAACAATTCAGTGGCGGAATCAGCCATTTAGCGGTTTTAAGCCAGAAAAAGAGAAAAACACATGGGGTGACAGCTGTCATAAATGTAAGGTTAGCAATCCCACAGACGAGTTTTCAACAAAACCACACAAAAAACATCAATTAAACACGTTTGTGTCGACTAGTTGGGCCTTAATTAATCATCAGAATTGGTTTTTGGGCAATTATTTATAGTAACGTACAGGTTTCTACATTACCGGCCTCTAAAATTAAAAGAATTTGGGACCTTGTGAAGGGCTTATTCATGGCTTATTAACCTGATTTGTGTCATATTGTGTGTTGCACTTTGAATTATTATTTCCTGTGGTTGTATTTTGCCAAATTTGGTGTTGTGGTTTGTCGCTTCCTGCTTTGCCGACTGTCCAAGATGGTGGATCCAGGTGAGTCGCCACGTAATTCCGCAAGAATTAGTGTTTTTTCGCCCCAAAAATCAGTATTTTTTAGTGCTATTATTGAAGTAAACCCGAGTTTTCTGCGGTACTACTCAAAGAACATCTCAATTTGTTAATCTATTAGTTGGAATGTTCTTTCAATTGTTACCGTACGAAAACTGATCGGCATTTCGTGATGGAAGAGATTGAGGAGAAGCCCGACGTGAAAACACTCTTAAAACATCAAGATTTCACCGCTGATACGCCGGAAAGTGCCCCAATTTGTCCCTATTCGCGCCAAAATGGCAACGTGGAAGATGTGCGAAAATTCCACATTTTGGACGAGACCGAAGACTCGGATTCGGAGAAGTCGTTTTCCTGCGATTCGGACATCCCAGACGAGGAGATTGACAAGATGTTGGAAGACGCGTTGGCGAGCAACAAACGGAAGGCTTCAGAGGCCGGTTTGGGTAAAAAACCATCGATTTGGGGCCACTTGACTCATTTAATTTTTAGATGACAACACTGCGAAACAACCCTTCGAGGAGAAAGACAAAGTGGTGCTCATTGAAAAGTGCCAGAACCACTTTGACGTGCTCCCAGAAGGCTGGATCCAAGTGACCCACAACAGCGGAATGCCACTTTACCTCCACAAAAACACCCGAGTTTGCACTTTATCCAAGCCCTACTTCCTAGGCCCTGGCTCCGTGAGGGTAAGTTACCACCCAAGGAGCGAAAAAACCCTAAAAAAAACATTCCAGAAACACGAAATTCCCCTAAGCGCAATCCCCTGTTTGAGCTACCGACGCGCCCTTGAAACGGAAGAAGAACAAACTAACGAAACTCGAGACTTACCAAACGCCCGGATTGAAACAGTGAAGGAAAATATCGAATCCCAAAACCTCAAACCTGAAGATGTCCGAAAATACGCAGAGAAACTCTTCCAGTTTAAAACAATCAAAGTGATGAGGTTTAAATCGTGGTCGGAACGTCGCCAATTCACCAAAAAACGCAAACACGAACAACAATTACAGAGACCTAACTTACCGGCCGGTACTAAACTTATCACTTTTCCGATACAGAACGAAGCGAGTGAGAATACGAGTTCCAATGCGAAAAAGGAGTGGATTATGAACCCGAATGGCAAGTCATATGTGTGTATTTTACACGAATACGTCCAGCATGCGTTGAAAAAACAACCGACTTATAAATTCACAGAGTTGGGTAAAAAACCGTTCATTTTTTTGGCGCGAAAATTTGAATTTGGTTTCAGAGAACGCAGCTACGCCCTACGCCGCGACTGTTTCAATCAACGACATGCAATACGGTGTTGGGTATGGTACTAGTAAGAAACAAGCGAAGTCTGAGGCGGCCAGAGCCACCTTAGAGATTTTAATCCCTGAAATGAAGTCAAAAATTACAACAGATGCCAAGACTGGGTCTAGTGCGAGTCGGGATCAAGACCAAGATTTATCGGTAATTATAATTAATTGATTAATTGAAATTAATTGGTGATTAGTTTTTTGATGAAATTCGAATTGAGGATCCGAGAGTTGCCGAATTCTGCGCGAAAACGACCGAACCGTCACCTCATGATATTTTACTCACTTGTTTGCAACGTAATTTCGGCCTTAATGACCTCCAAATTAGCTATCAAGGAAATACACTGAAAAATAAGAAGAATCAGTTTACCATGACTGTGGGTAAGCACACTGCGACTGTCGTTTGTAAGAACAAAAGAGATGGGAAACAGAGGGCGTCGCAAGCGATACTACAAGTAGGGGTTTTGGTTTTGTTATGTTGGTGGTTCTGGACGTTTTTACAGGCTTTGCATCCGCATATAACTTCATGGGGGTCGCTATTGCGGCTTTATGGTAACGGATCGGTGAAGAGTTTCAAAGAGAAGAAACTGGAAGAACAGGAAATTACACTTTTGCAAAGTAAAGCCGCCATTAATTCACCCAATTTCGCCATCTTGGATAAGCTTAAATTGGAATTGTCGAAATTGAGAGATAAAAGGACGCAAATCAAACCGATTGGAGTTTTTATACCGACTGAGAGTGACAATTTACCGAAATTGTCATCGTCGAATTTGAAAAATGTCGATTTGTAATGCCATGTAGTGATGCAATAAAGTATTGGATGTAACTCGGGTTTTTTTTTTATTACGGGTGAAATATTGTGACCAATCGATTAGTTGGAAAATTTCAGTGTGGAACGATGGGTCACACTATGGCATTTTTTTGACTTTTACATTAAAAAAATTTTTTTTTTTAATTCAAAAATTAATATTTGCATTTGATTTTGTCACTTATTTTACTATAAATTACACATATTATTTTTGGTAACTTTTTTTTGATACGCAGACACTCAAAACTCGTTTTTCTCGAAAACAGGATATTGTTTTGCTGAAATAATGTTAAAGTTTGATTAATTGGACAATTTCAGTATGGAACGATGGGTCACACTATGGCATTTTTTTGACTTTTAAATTTCCGAAAAAAAATTGTTTTTCTACTAATTCAAAAATTAATACTCGCATTATATTATTATATATTATTTTACGTTAAATTATATAGATTGTTTATGTTAATTGATTTTGTGACATTTCTTTGATACGCAGAGAATCAAAATTTCAAAATCGTTTTTTTTTTCAAAAACGGGATATATTTTTGGTGAAATAATCGTAAAGTTAGACTAATTGGACAATTTCAATGTGGAACGATGGGTCACACTATGACATTTTTTTGACTTTTAAATTTCAAAAAAAAATTGTTTTTCTATTAATTCAAAAATTAATACTCGTATTTGGTTTTTTTACTTATTTTACGTTAAATTATATAGATTGCTTATGTTAATTGATTTTGTGACATTTCTTTAATACGCAGACAATCAAAAATCGTTTTTTTTTTTCAAAAACGGGATATATTTTTGGTCAAATAATGTTGAAGTTTGACTAATTGGACAATTTCAGTGTGGAACGATGGGTC